AAAAAAAAAAAAAAAAAAAACGGCTCCACAACCCCCAAAACCCTTGACCCTTAATCCTTCGCCCCTATAGACTCTAAGCCTCTAAGCCTCAAACCCTCAGACACTCCAACAAATTGATAACTCATAACCCTTTCAAACAGCAGCATTTATACCATACCCTGGAAACCCTATTCCAATTTTCCAGCCCGATACAGACAGTCCCTATAGCTGGGCTGCTGTTAAGGAAATAAGATTCAGTTACCATCTTGCGGGTCTATGGTAAAAATGATGGTTGCATGATCCTAGTAGCTTAAGTGAAGTCCCTCAACAGCAACTCAGATAAACCTAAGGAGGACCCCCCACCTTGTAATAGTGGTATAGTAGGAATATAAGAAAACCCGAACATAATCCCTATTGTCCCTTATGGTCACTATTACTGGGTGGGGGGTCCACCTAAGATAGGCCCCTGTATGAGCAAACTCTGAGCAAGTCACCTGGCGGAGCTCGCCCCGAGTTCCTCGCTTGATCAAAGCCTGAATCTCTAAAAACCCGAAAACCCTGAAAGTCGAAATTGCTACAGACTAAACGCCTAAACCCCCTAGTAGTTTAGAATCCTAATCCCTAAATGTTTCAATCCTCAAGAATTCAACCCTAAACCCCGCGCAAGAACCTAGACCCTAAAACCCTGTGACCCCTATAAACCCTAAAGCCCTCAAGCCATGTGCTAGCTCCTCTAATGCCCCTAGACCTATATTCAGAAGATCCTGAATAACTCCTAGGGGTTCTATACTTAAATTCTATCGTAAAAGCTGTATATTCAAGAAATCCTGAGGGCTATTCTACTAAACAGAAACCTTTGTAAGCCAAGAACTCCTAGGGCAATAAGAGGCTCGCCTCCGGTCTCTCCTAAGCTGGCTCTGCCTTCCAGAGCAACCCGTACGGGACCCTGCTAGCTCTTTAGCGACGTTTTGTTGGGTTCCTGTGAACCCCCCTCGCAGCAGGATTCCTGCAACCTGGAGCCCCCTCCCACATCCCTTTTCTTGGGCCTCCCCAAAACCTCCAGCCTCTCAAAACCTCCCAGCCCAGGGCCTCCAGGCCTCAGAAGCACGCAAGCCACAGCCCCATGCAAGGCCAATTTTCTAGCCTGATGCTGGTTGTCTGTTGTCGTATCACCGAGCTCCGAAATGTGTGGTGTCTCGGAACCGAAAGGTCAGAGCGAGCAGCTGACGTGTTGCGAAAGCCATGAGAGTCTGACAGGTTTCGCTGCGTGATGCGGAAGGAAATATCGGAATTGGCAATGACGCGTGAGGCCACAAAAAACTGTAAGTTAAGCCCCGCTTGCTTTGCTAGGGTGGTTTTGGGGGGTAGGAACCCCAAAACCTGATTCAAAGTAAAGAGGGTGGTTGGGGTGGGACCTGTAGCCACGCGAGCTCGCGAAGAGCGGGTGCTCACCTAACTCTAATATAAAGGCGCACCCACTGCACGCTCACACTGATACACACGCTAAACCCTAAACCTTAACACCCTAAACCCTAATTAAACCCGAAAGCCTAAAAACTGAAATCTCAAAAACCCTAAAGTCCAAAAAACCCTAAACCCTCAAACCCTGAAAACCCTAAAAACCATTCGCCTCAGGTTCCTCGTAGGGCTCGGGTTCCTCCTCTTCTTCTGGCCAGTCATTGCCCTGCTCGGGATCCGGCTCCTCCTGTCTGGTCTTTCAGGGTCTAGAATCCTACCTGGACCCCAAATGTATGCTACCCTAAGGGTCCAAGGTTTAGGGTTTAGGGTTTGGGATTTAGGGTTTAGGGTTTGGGGTTCAGGGTTTGGGGTTTAGGGTTTAGGGTTGCTTCTACCTGGACCCCAAAGGTATGTAGAATAACGGCCTTTATGGCTGTTATTATGGGTCTAGGGCTATTATTTTACATACTTTTGGGGTCTAGGTAAACCCTAAAACCGCTGGGGAAGCTACCCGCCGAGGAATCCCTTAGAACCCTGAACCTTTAAATCCCTGCATAATCCCCAGCACCCCTCAATCCTGATCCCGGAAACCCTATGCACTGAAGCCCTGAAAAACTGAACCCCCGCAGTCTAACACCCTAAACTCCACATTGTATCTCAAAGCCCTAAAGCCCGCACCCTAAAGCCCGAACCCCTGAACCCTAAACCCAGCACCCTAAAACCAGAAAGCCTGCACCCTCTAAAACCCTAAACTCCACACCCTAAATCCCCCAACCCCAATCCCCTAATCTCCACACCTTAAAAGCCCCTCACCCCTAAACCCTTAAACCCGAAAATCCCCAAACCGTGTTTTAAGGTCCAAGCTGGCACCATAGGATGTTTTGCATTTAGGGTCTACCTGGACCCCAAAAAGTACGTAAAATAATGGCCTTTATGGCTGTTATTATGGGTTTAGGGCTACTATATTACATACTTTTGGGGTTTAGGTCCAGGTAAGGTTTAGCGGTCCTCCACTCGGCTATTTGGAGCCCTAGGCGGGACTGAATAAGTAGCTTCAGGCCTGCTTGAGACAAAAGACCTTAACAACCCTGGTAAGCGAACATAGATGCTGTTGGGTACCTACACCACGCACACCTTCACAAAGCCTGTAAAGTGCCAAGATAGTCGTGAGGGTCTGATAATCGTGAGAACTATCCTAAACCCCAAGCTCTAAATCCTAAACCTTGAAACCTAAACCCTAAATCCCAAACCCTAAAGCCTATGTGAGCCGTAGTCCAAACTCCTAGTATCCCCCTTAATAACCCCTATGGTAGTCCCCTATATAATCCCCCTAGATATAGCCCCTTTAAGGAGTTTAGACTAGGGTTCATGTGGCCTCCAACAGATCACGTCGCCATTTATCCCACTCCTGGGCCTCTTCGCGGTTTAGTTGGGTTCTTAGGTGTCTAAGCTCCTCAACCGAGGTTTAGGGTTTATGGTGGGTTTAGGGTTTAGGGTTTAAGGGTCTAAACTCTTCAACGGAGGTTGTATAAGGGATTATATAGGGGACTGCTATCTGGGCTATTTATTGTAAGGGGGGATACGAGGAGTTGAGACTATGGTTCTTCTCGTGATTTGAGTTAAGGGTTCAGGGCTTAGTGTCCTGGGCCTTACATTTTCTTTATTGGGTTGGACCAGAATTTAGGGTTTCGGGTTAATGGACCACAACAAACAAGCAGAAAAATGACCTTGGACCCAGTTTTACATGGGATTGGAGCAACCATGAGGCAGTGGTGCCCCATTCACGGAGGTATCTTGGGAGCTCTCAAACGAGGACAGGATTTGGAGGACTAATCTCAATGGGTATTTCTCGAAATAATCCCTGCAGAATCCCTTAAAGGCCATAGACCCCTCAAAATCCCTACATAGCCCTGGCGTGTCTGGGGCCCCCTATTTTTTGCAAACTCCCAAATCCTACACCTGAGTAGCGTTTTTTTTGGTGCTTGAACCTAGTAAGATTATATTCCTTACATAAAATACTATACCAAAAAGGGAGGATAGAATCTTGCTCTATAATGAATACCATAGTATCCCCAAATAAAATACTATATCCCGAATATAACCCCTATATAACACCAGTTTCCATTTCATTTTCCATTTTCTTTTCCATTTGATTCTCCATTATTGGGGGAATATTGGGTACCATAGTATCCCCAAATAAAATACTACTCACCTCAAACAGCAATCCCCACGGGTGTCCCTTCTCACCTGGCAAGAGAATCTGATGTTCTCGGGGGAGCGCAGCTGCAAGGTCGTACCATACCGTACCACAGTAAGAGGCTCAGGAGACATAGTAAGTAGATTATGATGATTATGAACGGGGTTTTCAGCAGGCCGACCCCAATTTGGGGACTAAATCCCTTTTATAATCTACTTATCAAGCCCTATGAGCCTTCAGTGAACATACCCTGCGGGTGGCAGCAGAAAGTAGCCCCCATACGATTCGCCTGGCTGTTGCAAGGTCACCGGTATGCATAAGTGCGGCTGCGAACCACCCCCAAACAAGGCAAACACATTTTATGACGGTAGCTATCCTGCTTCGCTACCTTTAGCTCCCCGGGTCGAACTCCCCAAGCCTATCCACTCTAAACCCTTTGTCCTGAACCCTAAACCCTAATTTCCGAACTCTAAACCTTAAACCCCTACCTGGACCCTGGATGTCCTTCCTTTTTGGGGGTAATGTCCCATAAGCTTAGAATATACCCCCTCCAGGGTCCAGGTAAACCCTACCTCTTAAGCCTCAGCGTCTTTTTTTGCTGGTGTGAGCAAGTGTTTGGATCTGACATAAGTCATAGCCAGGACCAAAGAGCTCTCTCCACGCATCCGCAAAACGTAGGGTTTAAGGACTAGGGTTTAGGGTTTAGGACTCAGGGTTTAAGGATTAGGGTTTAGGGTTTAGGACTCAGGGTTTAGGACTCAGGGTTTAAGGATTAGGGTTTAGGGTTTAGGACTCAGGGTTTAAGGATATAGGGTTTAGGGTAGGGCTTAGCTGTTCCGCGCACACCACAATACACTCTCCTTCGCACTTTCAAACGCAGCAGTCCGAACCCTAAGTCCTAAAACCTTACATCCCTAAACCCCCAGATCCCAATTTGAGAAACTCCTATATGAGTTCGCCTACCACCTTTTGCGGTGCCGCTTGAGCCCCTCGACGCAAGACCATTCTCCTAAACAGGTCCTCTAGGCCTCAGCCTCTGTATCGATGCAAAGCTCAGAGAGTTTCTATGCTATTGCGGGTCCTCTAAGCAATGGGGCTCTAGGTGTGAGATAGGAAGCTGTGGGGTTCAGGGTGTAGGGGTTCTGGGGAGCTAGCAGCCGAGTACACTTGCAAAAGGCGTATCTAAGGCTTGTAGATGGAGGCTGGGAGTATAGAACCCTAAGGGTCCAAGGACCCAAATCATAAGGTTTTAGGGCCCAAATA